CTTATAAATGGATTGGCTCCCACAAGTCATCGTGCTCCCCATATGGCTTCCGGATGCAGGCTGGGGGGTTCAGTGTTGGGCGTACAAAATGGGCAGGGTCATGGTTCTTTGGGAGGTAATCACTATGTATGTGTTTTTGGAAGAGCATGCAATAAGCTAAAAGAGCGTCTACAAATCACCACTGAGAGAACAGAAATTGCTTTTGGAGCTAACTTTTTTTTGCATCCTTTATGTTCGTCGATATTGGTGTTGAGGCCTTGAGAGGGGCTTTTATGTGATCACTGAAACACAAGCGTGGAGTGGGAACTTCTTTCCTTGTGAAATGTGAATGATGCTTCGTTAGAGCAGAAAGTGGGTGGCCCTGCATCACAGTCTTTGCCTTTGTCGAATGTCCTGCCGTCCTTTTAGCTGTTTTTCTTGAACTTACGTTGAATAATGAGGACGCGATCGCTGCTCGGGCGAACCCAAGGTGTGGCTCTGAAGGTTGAAACGAAATAGCAGAAGGGTGAAGAGTAAAGTTTCGTTGGTCGATCCCTTTGTGGGATGCGTCGCGCATTCTGCTTCCATTAAGAATCGTGGTAGCTTATTAACACATTGGCGACAAGGCGCCTTTTCGCGTGTCTGCCGCGTGGGACAAAGCAGTTTTTCCCTATTTTCGAAGAATGCGCATAAATGCTAGGGCGTTTATACGCCAAAAAAATTGAAGAATGGTCAGAATTCATTGCAGAAGCTAGTAAGGCTTCGCTATTCTTGTTTACTTTCAAGATAAACCCTGAAATTTCATGGAATACTCCCGCCTCATTCACGTGGAGCGTGGGAACAAGGTCGCAAAAAAGGAATATTTTCGCGCCAGAGGTGGTAAATTGTGGTAAATGCCTTCATGGACAATATGCAGCTGTTGAAAATTCGAAACGTCTTCAAATTGGTTTTTTACCCATGCCGCATCCCAGCAGTGGGACGCAATGTCCCACGCGGCAAAAAAGGTGCGTCCCAGCAGTGGGACGCAATGTCGCCAACGTGTTAAATACCATATGACCGGTACGATGATTTGTGGGAGCCAATCCATTTAGAAGTCAGTTTTTTATTTTCCCGCACGAATTTGGTACCAATTCACCGTCCGTGGAAGAAAGAGAGCTTGGTTGGCGCAGGCGAGGATTGACCCGGGGCTCCGACAAGACCAGGGCACGCCATCGTTGTGATCATCACAACAGGGGGGTCGTATTTGACCTCGAGGGAGGGGGGTCGTAAGCGCGGGGACCTTTCTGAAGTGAGGGTGCAGCGATACCCAGATGTCGTTCAGCTTCAATGATGAAGACTTATCCATGTGAAGAACCCCTGAAGTGACCCACACAAGACAGAAGCAACCTGCCAGCGCAGAAGTGGGGAACGGGCGATGACAGGAAATAAGGCTCACAGCGACGTCATGAATTAATAAAAAAAGATGAAGGATAAAGTCTCCGCCGTTGATCAACCCCTTTGTGGGATGCGGCACGCATTCTACTTCCATTCAGAATCGCAGTGGCTTATTGAATGCGATGTGGCCTATACAATGACTTGTGGAGGCCAGCCGATGTACAAGTCAGTGTTTCAAGGACAATTCACCATCCCCAGGAGGGTAGAGGGCTTGGTTGGCCTGGACGGGAATCGACCCGGAATTTGAATCCGACATCGCACATATGATA